AAAAAAAGACATCATAAATTTAATAATCTATTTTATAATTATTTGAGCAATCACTCTTCTTCAGTTGGAGGACAACAGGAATTCTGGGTTTGTTTGTTTGTTTGTTTGTTTGTTTGTTTTTCTTCAATATTTTTTTTTAAACGAGTTCAGCAAAGAACCAAGCACATGACATGTGCTTACTGGTACTTTAGAAAATAAGACATCTGTATTTGGAATGGCCATATATGCATACACATCCAGAGGCAGGTTGGACATATTCATTGTAGAGATATGCATTGTATATATTCAAGACAAAAATGGAATATATATATATATATATATATATATATATATATAGAGAGAGAGAGAGAGAGAGAGAGAGAGAGAGAGAGAAAGATACAATGAAATAATTATTATAGCCTAGTCAATTAATATGTCCATCATCTTGCATAATTAAAGGACACATAAAGTTTACACATAACAAATTTTCAGTTTTTAATGTAATATCATCAACAATAGATCTCATATTGTATATTAAATCTCTAGACTTATTTAAATGATCGTAGATATTTTGGCTGAAACCAAGAGCTTGCAGAGCACTTTAAAAATAGGTGTATTAGAAAAATATATCTTAAAGATATGTTCCAAGAAGCTGATTATATTTTATATAATCAACAAAAATCTTTATTGACAAGAATTAAAAGTACATAAACTTATGTTAAATAATTTTAGTGCATTTTGCATTCGGTTAACTAGCTTGCATTTTCTTTGTTTTGATGACATAGTATCAAAGGAATATATACTTTATGCCTAATATTTTCATAATTAAGTCAATAGTCATTTATGCTGCAAAATAACTAAAATGACACAGAAAAATTAAGTAGAAAGATTTTAGAATAGAAACTATGGTATAAGTTATCTTTTTACTCAATCAGTGATGATTTCTTTTTATAGAAAATTAATTTTTTAAGTGAATTACTTAAAGACACAAAAATTATTAGCCACTTCACAACTTTCTTAAAAATTTGGGTTATCATAAAAGATAATAAAATTAAAAATGCATAAATTTATGAAAAATCTAGGTACATGTTTGACAGATTTTCTAAATAAATTGAGTTGATAAATAAAATTGAATCCAGTTTCTGTATACATAAAAACAAAGTAATGTAATAAAATTATATAGAATAAATAACTGAGAATGGGATAACGTTAGTGAACTCAAAATGAAATTTTGAATTTTTTCAAAATTGCTGTCACAGAGGCATATGAATGGACTAGAAGAAAACCATTTTACCATAAAATTGTTATAAATTATTTAATGTGAAGCTCAAACTAAGTTATGGTGACTTGTTAATGACATCTTAAGTCTTTTAAAATTTCTCTCAGAAAAAATAGTTACAGATAAAATGAGAAAAAGAGTGATATGTGTCATGATACTCACTTATAAGATTTCTTCCTGAATAAATGAGGAATAATACATTTTTATTTTAATCAAATGGTTATACAAAACTATTTCACTTCAATGAATAATTTCACAACATTTGGATATTTCTCTTTGATGCATAGCACTATTTATACTTCATTTTTTCTGAAATTATTATCATATTCAAAATACCTTTGCATTTGGGTATATCTTATTTACCCTTACTTTATATCTTAGGAAACAAACACAATAAAATTAATTAACATATCTGAGAAGAAAAAGCAGTAGTGAGTCTACACTTTTTCTTTTTTTCTGGATACAAATGAAAAAACTATTCCTATTATGCTTTGTTTTTAACTATTTGTACTAAATGAATTCTTCATCAGATATACATCTTTGTATTTATTAATAAATAAATTTGTTGAATAATTCATAATGTACAACAAAAAGATGACCTAATATTTACAGAATAGACTACCACCTGAAGGATTTAGCTTGGTATATTTTATATGAAAAGCAAATGCAGCTTGTTGGCCTCATTTGAAGCCTTCAGCACTTTCTCCCCATCATAGAACTGCTTACAACTCTGTATGACCGTGAGAGAGAAAGCTATTTAAATCATGTTTACAGTCAAGACTGGAGCCAGAGTTTTCAGATTTAGTACAGGATGCTCTGTTAAATGTGAATGTTAGTTAAACAATGATTACTTTTATACTATGTTGTATTCCTATGTTCAGTGTTAAGGCAAGATTGAATTAAATCACCAAGTCAATCTTAAAGCAGGAGACAGAAGCTTTATTCACCAGTTGGTGGTCTGGATCCACCAACTGGTGGGCCAAGAAGTAGACTGCAAGTCTACACCTTTCCACCCGATTCCAGGGTTTGAGTACACCTATTGTAGTCCAAAACTATATTAAAGCATAAGTGGCTGATGATATGATTCAAAACATCATGAGATGTAAAATCATAAGAAGAAAAGAGAGTTGACCAAAATGTGCCGAGTTGTGTACAAGTTAAAGAACAGTTAATAACATCTAGACAATCTCTGACAGGGTACATTGTCCAAGAAAAACAGGAATCAAAGAGAGAATACTTTTAAATTGTATAAGAATTGCTATTTTGTGTTGCCAAAGGTGCTAGGCAAAGCAACTGTTGATGGGTTCAGAGGTGGGGCTTTCCCTGGGAGAAGTATTTCTTAGGTGACATGGAGTTTCAGGGCAAAATGGAGTCTCTTTGGTCATTGTCCATGTAGCCTGGCCCATAACATCAGGACATACTTATACTAAAAATTATTGAGGTATATCTGAAGCTAAAATTAGAACAGTATTTTTGCTTTCCAAATCTGGCAACATTAGTTACACTTCATTGATGAAGATGCAAAGATATTGATAGATAGATTCTTCCCTATACTTAGAATGTAAGAACAATTTTTATTTTTATTTTTTTTAACAACTAAAGCCTTCTGGAGTATATAATTAAATTGTGAGATTATATAAATTATATAATTCATGTGTTAAAATACATTTTAATAAAATAATAACTCAATAGTTTTTAAATAAAAGTGAAGTCCATTAGGAGATACTCCTAAATCATACAATCAAATATTTTATTGTATTTGTCATTTAAGATTTAAATTATTTTTGTGAAACATAATCTTAATTAAAAAATAAAAATAAAAATGTCTTCAAATAAAAATATTATTTCGAGTCTTTTCCACGGGACTTTTGAGGTTAAAATTCATAATAATATGAGACGGACATAAACATTACATATTTTTAAGATACTGGCAAATGCCTTCTATTTTTAACTTTTTGGAGACCCTCAATGCCACAAAAATGATAATTGTGTGAAGTAATATTAATGTTAATTAGCTAGACTTACTAATTAGCTAGACTTACTAAATAATACATATATACTTCAAAAATACTTCATAAAATTAATATACATTATTTGTCAATTGATAAACTAACTAAATAAATAAATAATATGTAAATTAAACAAAACAGGAATATTGGAAATTTCCACACATGGCAACAGATCATACATTCCAGGCACATAAAGATAACTAACACATGATCACACTAACATAAAAATCTAAAAATATTGATCCCATAGAAGGTGAAAATAGAATAGCAGTTGCCAAAGGCTGTGGAGTGTAGGAGGAAGGACAGATAGGGAATGTTTGCTCAAAGGGTGTTAAGTTTCAGTTAGATAGGAAAAGAAGTTCTGGAGTTCTATGGTCATTGTGGTGTTGCAATAGCAGAAATATATTGTATATTTCAAAAAGCTAGATAGCAGAATTATAAAATATTTTACCACAAAGAAATGATAAATTGTTGAGGTAATAATTATGTTTAACTAGATTTAACCATTATGCAATGTATACATGTAACAAGATTGTCACCCATTAACATTTACAATTTTATATTTTTAAGTATCAACTAAAAAGTAGGTTTAATTAAGTTTTAAAAAGAGAGGAAGAGAAGGTGACCACTTAGAAATTATGGATGCACTAAAAGTACTATAAAAAACTACTTGAGGATTGGTTATTCATGTAATATTACAGTGTACTTATTTTCTTTACCCATATATTGATTTTTAAAAATATGTGCTCACTTTTATGTTTTCATGAAAATAAACATAGAAAAAAGTCACTTTACAAATAAAACCAAGAGATAATTAAATTCTAAACATAAGACATACAGTTATCACATTTCTGTTTTCTTCTTGCACTGTGAAATCATGAGAATGGAGTTTTCACATAGATCTCTCCTTATATATCTAGGTTTATTTGTTCATTCATTATGTTACTCTAAAATCCATTTATTCACTTCTTACTTTAAATAAATGAAAATAATAATTCAGGTTATTTATTAACCATTCAAAGATTAGCTCATTCTTTTACTAATTATAAATATACATCCATTATAGGTTTGAAATGTTTGGTATTCTTCTAATTTGTTTTTAAATATTCTAATATATAAAATCTAAAAAATAAAAGATACAATGGTATTGTATTCATCAATGTAACCTGAATACCTAAACTTTTGTCTCTGTATTTAATATTACTATATAAAAATATATGTTACCTTTGGGATTTTTAAAAAGAGCAATCATACAAGCATATAAACAAACAAGTTATTAACTAAGTTTTTTATCTATTTTAATTTTTGTGTTTATATATTCATGTGTATGCACACACATATGTGTGTGTGTGTTTCTTAGTAATGCTAGGTCCACCTAGAAGATTATCCTTTTACCTAAATCAGTGATTTGGGCAGAAGCCACCCAGGTCTTCTAGTCTTATGGTAATAATTGGATATTTCTGAATGTCTTGTTTACTTTTATTCCATTATATTTTGTAGGAATGAAAAATATATGTTAAATATTTTAGCATTACAGATACAGAAAATGTTACCAAATAGTTGATAACTTGTGAGTAAATCTGTTACATTTAATATACAATTTGGTCTGTTTTATTATATTTATGTATTTATTGCACTGAAACCAATAAAAAAATCAAGTGTCTGATATCATTATACAAAATACAAATATGGTCCTTTCTGATAATTTGCCTTCCCACAAACCAAGAACTTACCCCATTAATATTCAAGTCTGGTGTAAGTCTTAGTGAATCTCTCAATCCATATCATTATTTTGTTGGTATTCACACTCTTGAAATGGACTTGATAGATAAGGCTAAGAAATACAAAAGAATAGATTTGTTTATGTAGAGATTATTTTAAGCTTGCTGGAAGGAGCAGAAAAATCCCAGGGGAAGAAATAAGAAGCAGCCAGGCAATCTGTTTGCCTCTCATCTTCAAGCAGTTTCAGGAGGTTACATATAAGAAGATTAGGAAGTAAAACAGAATTGCAATTGAAAAGCTTTCTAATGAAAACAAATTTACCATGTTTGATTGCATATATTTGCTATCACTTTTTTGACAATGGCATAATGCAGAACAATGATTAAATACACAGAATTATTTACTATATAAACAAATCATACAGACAGTTTGGCTAGTGAAACATAGCTAGTATTTCCAACACAGTTTCAAATGACTATTTTAGTCAGACAACTAGTTTAAAAAGGAAATATAAAGAAAACATAAATGGTGAGTATTTTAACTACTTAATTTTATATGAATAGTTTATGTAAAAATATGCAGTGTCTAAAAATATTAGATATGCTTAGATAAAAATGATTCACTTTTTTCTGTTTACTCTCATTACAGCTACATGAAAATGTTTTCAAAATATTGCTTACTTCCAACTCAGTGATTATACAAATAAATACGTGGGCAATCAATAAGTATATAATGAGTGAGTGCAAATAAAGAACCAACAAGGTCTGTTACTGTTAGGTGCTGCACTGGGGACTCTGAAGTGCAACAATTTAATTTGTTGAGCCAAATTCTCCCATAAGTTTAGTAAACATGGGAATCACTTTTCTTGTATGATACCAGAGTTAAGGGGTGCAGAGCATAGTTCATATGACATTTGGGAGATAAAAATAAAACACCAGCCATGAATTTCTATTATGGTCAGAAATGGTGATAAGAGATACAGTGGCAGGTTCCTGCTCATCCTTTCATTGTTGTGCTCTGTGTCCAGCCTTTCTCCCTGACTGTGGTCCATTTCTGTTGCACAGTAGCAGCCCCAGGACTATCAGCAGACACCAGGCAGTGTTAACTCTGCAGACAACTGTTTCCCACAGACTTTAGAGTGTGGCGTTGGTGAACAGGTGCAACTGTCTTCAGCATGTCCCTGTCTTTTAACCCTTGCTGGTGCTTCAGAAAAACTGGTAGATGGCTTGTTTGTTTCCCCAATTTTAACCATTAGAGGCTTTCACTCCCTGAGCTCTGCCTACATTGACGTAAGGCCACTCCTGTAGTAAATACTTTCCCCTGTGACACCCAGTGAGTCTGTGCTGCCCTAACTGAAGGCATAAGTAATGCTTCAGCCTTTAGAGGTTCACATTCTGTGTCACTGTCAAGACTGGTACAAAGTGATTGTAAAAAGAAATGAAATGATCTTTTATCAAATGATAATGAAGAGTCAATGAGGTTTTGAGTAGTCATAGGAGGCTGAAAGGAGAAAGGTATTTTAGTTGGGTTTTTAATGACAGAAAGTGATAAAGAGTATAAACTAGGTAATACACTGAAACACACTGAAAATAGAAAAGGAATAATAAATATAGAATAAACATAAGAAGACAGAGATGTGAATATATTTGTGCTATATTGAGAATAATATAAAAATTTTAGATAGGAGTAACGGGCAAGCTTAATAAGGCCTCTGAAATCAGGAAAATTGCTAAATCATAAATAAGTTCCTATATGGGGAGAAGGGCTATGGTGTTGTTCAGTACTGATGAGTTTTCAGATTTATTCTTTTTTGAATTTGCAGTTTTAATACTCTATTTCCAACTGCCAAAGTAGAGTAGACTGCTTTCCAAAATTCAGATCATCTCTGCAAACCACTCCTCTGCCTCTCTTAGATAAATCCACTAATCACCCAGCTTTCCAAGGTTACTATGGTGGCAAATAAGTGATGCCTCAGGACATAACTCTCTTTTAAAATGTTTTTGTTGTTTGCCTTTATGAGAAGTCTGCTCTCCATGATCCTTCCTTCCTCAGATTTCCTTCCATTCTGCTATCCACCTCCATTTTCATTACTTCTACTGAATTGCAGTTTCTGATAGTTCACACTTGTAATCTAAATATTGTGCCTGTTTGATAGTTTTGGGCTGTGATAGTTGATCAGAATAAGGTGTGCTGGAATAAAGATACATACATACACAAGTAGGTAGGTAGATACATATTTACATGCATATATAAGTTCATGGAGGATTATAGGTATAGATATATATTCAGTTATCAAACTCTTTTTAAAATTATTTTTATCAGAACAGGCAATTGTTATGTAATTAGTTACATGTAAATGAAGTGACAGTAATTGTTCAATTGATTTATTTTCACCTGTTACATGGTCCTTTTAGAGCTACTGCTAGATATTTGCCACATATGAATGCATTCATGGAATCTATGGAGCACTTTTTGAATTATCACTTAAAATAGAGAAATTTAATGCTTATTTACTTTCCTTTTTCCTTATAGGATCAGGCAGATTGAGCCTCTATCTTCATCATTTCTCTTAGGACTTTTATCCAATTATTTGTCTATGGTTCAATATTAGAGCAGGTTTCCATCTGATCTCAAAGTGCAAGCAATACTAGAAACTCTTTCTGAAATTTTCAAAATTACTGAGGTTACTTATCCATTGTTTTCCCCAGTTGTTATGGTTTGTGCCTTGCATGTTTCTCAAAATTCATGTGTTGAAGGTAGTGCAGCAATGTTCAAAAGTGGACTTTTTGAGAAATGATGGATCATTAGATCTCTATGCTTATCAATAGATTAATTTATTTGATAGACTAATAATTTGATCAGAATCCTGGGAGGTGATTCTAGGCAGTTGGAGCATGTTCAGAGGAAGTAATTCATTGGTGACTTGGCCTTGAGAACCATAACTTATTCCTGAATACACCTTCCATTTCTTCCAAATTGCCACAAGTTCAGCAACTGTGCTCTGCCATACCCTTCTACCATCATACTTTTCTCCATCTCAGATTCAAAGCAATGGAACCAGGTGTCTAATGTTTGAAACTGTGAGCCAAAATAAATCTTCTTCATCTAAGTTGTTCTTGTCTGTTATTTTGTTCACAGCAACATAAAGCTGACTAACATACCATTCCTCACTAACAACAAAGCATACTATAAGTCTACAATGTAAAAATCAAATTTTTATGGAAGAAAGATATTAATGGAGTACTAACATATTTTAACATATTTCCATCAAAATTTGGTTTAAAAATCAACCACTTGTATGAAATTACATTATGTGTACATATAAAGATTACATAATAAATTATACATATATACATAATTATAATGCACCAATAAAAATAAAAATAATCTTAAAAATTCAACTTTAAAATTCCAAATATTATGTATTATAACTATCTATCTGTACCTGTTCCTGCACTTGATACTAACTTTACTCTTCCCAAATGTGATTTAATACACATAATTTTTAAAGTATAAAAATTAGTTATGACTAATATTCTCATGAAAATCTTCACATTTTCCCCATTCAGCCAAGTAAATAATTTCTAAATGACCAAGATACATTTCAGCACTACTTTGATATTTTGAAAAATCTTTCTTTCTGGTAATACTGGGCATTACCAGGTTTATCCAGATACGTCTCTGCCTGAAGGTATAATATTACCTACTTTTGTGTATTAAACTATTATAACATGGGAAACAAAATGAGATTATATGATGTATAACCTACGTAGTGGTGGTTATAATGATAATGCCACTTCTGTATGCTTAAGAAAACTGGGAAAAAACATAAAAAATTATGGGCTCATTTATAGTTTCATTTTTATCATACTATTGTTTATTCCTATTTGTTACAATGTAAAATAATGACACATTATCAAAAACATGTTACTCAGCTAAATGATTAATAATATTCACCTAAATATTTGGAAGATTTACTTATTAAGAAAATACTATTATACTGATAATATTGTTAAATTCATAAAATTCTGACATTACAGGTCATCTATATTTTTAGGTATACAAACAATACAGTCATGCATGTTGCATAACATCTTAAATTATATCCAATTATTCCCTTTGAATATATAAGACATTATTATAGACTTATTCCATGAAATTATTCCATGAAATAGAAAAGGAAGGAACCCCTCCAAACACATTATTTGAAATTAGTATCACCCTGACCCTCAAATCAAAGACAGGCCAATATCAAGTGGAATTCATTATAGGGATGGCTCAACATATGGAAATCAATATGCATAATTAATCACTCAAATAGACAAGAATCACATGATTAGCTCAATTGATACAGAAAAAGAATTTGACAAAACACAGCATCCATTCACAGTAAAAACACTAAAACAACAACAACAACAAAAAGACTAGGGATAGTAGGAACAAACCTCAACATTGTAAAAACTATTTATGCTAAACCCAAGGCCAACATCATTCTAAATGGAGATAAATGGAAAGAATTCCATCTAAAAACTGGAACAAGACAGGGATACCCTCTTTCACCACTCTTTTTCAATATATTCCTTGAAATCATAGCCAGAGCAATTAGATAAAAGTAAGAAATTAAATATATATAATTAAATATATATAATTTAACCTAACAATAAAAGGTGAAGAAACTCTACAATAAAACTACAGACCACTAAAGAAAGAAATTGAAGAACACTTAGGAAGATGAAAATATCTCCCATGTTCTTGGATAAGCAAAATTAATATTGTCGAAATGGACTTACTACCATATGCACCATACAAATTTAATGCAATTCCTATTAAAATTCCAGTGATGTTTTTCATAGAAATTCAGTTGGGAAAATAAGAGACCCAGAATATTCAAAGCAATCTTTAGCAAGAAAAGTTATTTAGGAAGTATCACAATACCAGACCTTAAATTATACTACAGAGCTATAGTAACACAAATGCCATGATATTGGCATA